AGTGGACGACAATAAATTTTTTCGTGTAACGTTTATATTGAATGACACTTGATCTGCAATGTCCCGCGACTAATAATGTTTATTATCGCCACAAAAACATATTAATGATCGGCAAATTTTTGCAGTTGTTTCACGGATTACGAATTAATTATATTTTCAAGATCAGATGCTATATTATCACTTGTTTGGCAAATCTCAGTGTGGGCTTTTATGAAAACAGGTGCAGGAGTAGTCAAAATATAATTAGTCCAGTGCTCTTGAGTGATACTTGACCTTAAAATTTTAAAATTTTTAATTTTATTTAAAAAAAAAAATATATACACACTTATAAAAAATAATTTAAGAACTTACCACCCATCTGAAACCAAACTATAATATTCAGCTTCCTCTATTAATTTATCAACTTCTTGTTTAGTTTCTTTGTATACATTATCTAATAGAGTGGTGGAAAGTTTTTTTCTTCCGGGTAATTTAAATGAAGGACAAGCTTTTGCCCATAAATTTTTAATTGGTGTTAATTCTGATAAAGAAAGAAAAAGCCCACACTGATAAATTGATTTTGCGAATAGAATTTCTAACTCGTCTTGTTCTTTTTTTGATATTTTATCAACAAAATAGTTTAATGATTGATTTTTTAAATACATTGATGATGACAGTGATAAAGATGATGATGACAGTGATGATGTTGTTGATGATGACAGTGATGAAGAAGAAGAAGATGATGATGATGAATTACTATCATTATTGTCATTAATTCCAAAACTCAAAAATGATTGTAAAACATGTGTAGGTACATCTTTACATTTTTTAAAATGCACTTCACATCTTGTAGCAATTTCACATAATTCATAATTACAATATTTACATTTAACACGGTTTTGTTGAAACCCAATCACCCTGCCCAACTTTTCAAAATGCAACCAAATATTTTTATTAACCATTATAATTATTATTATAAATTTAGAATTTTTTTGTTACACATAATTCTCTATGGGAAAATGCAAGATTTTTAAAAATTGCATGTGCAAGTTGCATTGTGCAAGCATGCGCAATGGAACATCCCTAATGTTGCCAATCAGTCCAAACCAAATTACTGCTGAAGTCACGTGATAATGACATCATTTTTATTTTTATTTTTAAGGGTAGAGTGTAGGTAACAGCAACAGGAGAGGGAACACAAAAATTAACAGGAGGGAATACAAAATTTTAACCCATGCAATTTGTTGATTGACCAATTAAAATCGCGA